TCTGTCAAATAAATAAATAAAATCTTTTAAAAAAAAATAAATTAAAAAAAACAAAAGACTCTCTCTCCCTTTGCTCCTCTCCCCAAAATAAATAAATAAATCTTTAAAAAAAATAAATAAAATGCAATACATAATGACATACGCACAAAACGAGGTAATAATCTTTATGTAAACAGTTACATGTAAACAACTGAGAACAGAAGAGAAGGTAGTTTTCAAAAGACGTGGCAAGGAAGTGCTAGCAAAATATACTTGGTTCAGCTAATCAGAAAAATCTTGACATGTGTATCCTTTCCCCATATCATCTGTTATTATCACAATGGAAGGGAAAAAAAAAGATTAGCATAGAGCAGTGTGGAAACCATCCCCAAACAACTCCATTTTTATAGCTAGCGATTACTAGCAGCCTTTCAGTTTTAATAAATCTATTTTTAAAATAACTAATTCTCAGGGCAGCATAAACCATAAAACATTCATTACTTTCAGAAATTTTCAACAGAAGATTAAGAATCAACTACACATGAACAATTAAAGCTATCCTTTGATTTCTGATATTGCATCTGAATGGAAGAGGGAACAAGCAAGGTATTTATACAGCTGATAAAAGGTTGCAAACTCACCAAAACTGGCACCACCAAAGTATCATCACTTAGAGTCTTTGATCATTTTATTTATCTTATCTTTCAGAAGACAACAAGAATAACTATGGAAACTTGACATGCACAGCTATCTTCACTGAGTTCTACCATTCACTATGTGACCATTCTTAAGGCACTAGAAGAGGCTATGACATGATATTCACCATAAAGAATTAACTTAAAATAGAAGAAATAAAAAGACATGAATTCATGTAACAACTTCCTGTTGTGGAGTTTGGTAGAATAAAAATGTGAGCTCAACATTTCATTATTAATGTATCTTAAATGTCTAAATTAATGTCTGGCACACAGAAACTTCTGTGTGTGTGTGTGTGTCTGTGTGAAAGAGAGAGAGAGGGGGAGAGAAAGAGAAAGAGAAAAGGAGAGAGAGAGAGAATATCAATACTTTACAGAAAATTTCCAGGCAAATAAGTTCTCTGTCCTTAAAACCAAAGAAAACAACTCAGAACATACATCAAGCCACTTAAGAAAAACTCAAAGGGCATCTTTCTACACAGAATTCTAAACATTAATTAACAAATCATGTAACTCTCTACCGCCTTGATTATGCTAAGCTCTAAAATCTAGGCAAACGGGAATATGACAGGAAAAGAATGTCAAAGAAATACATAGAAAAGTGTGATACCCTACGGGAGAAATGCTATCAAATGCATAAACTCATGATCCTGCCTCTTATATGAGATACCCCCAATTTGACTGTTTATGCACAGAACAAATACAGCATTCCCTACCAGTCCTTTCCCACATTAGGATCTAGTCACAGCCCTCATGGAAATGACTCACCATTTGTCTGTGCTATACAGTTTTCAAAAAGGTTCTATGAACACTTGGTTTCCTCCTTTCTTAGAATTCAAACACTGTGTTCAGAAATAGGAACATTCAACTAGAGGATATCAATCTGTTAAAAATGTAGTGGTTACTTTTTTTTCTTTCTATGGATGTGTCATTAGCCGGAAATGCAGAAAATCATATTGACAGAATATAAAGTAGATGGGCTCGCCATGATAGGCAGTTAAAATTCTTGATTTTTCCTCCAAAACAATGACTCTATTAGGAATATTAATAAAATACTATGCACATCCAGATGTAAATATACATTTATTATGGCAATATTATCACATCAACTGACTCCAAAGGTTGGTTCATCTTCAATAAAATTAAAAAAAAAAAATACACACTTTCTAAAGACCTGTGGACCTAATCTTTATCATATTTTAGCTAAATGTGATGAAAAACAGGGCAGAGGAAGCAAAGAAAGTCATGCAACAGGGCAGAAGAAACAAGAATGTCATGCAACTCAACCTTGTCATAAGTGTATGAGACACAGTCCCTGGATACCCCTAGTCCCAGACATGAGCTCAGTTAACTAGATACAAATTCAGGCTTTCCCACTTCCGTTGTTTTCATTTGCCAAAGCCATTATTAGAGCATGAAAGACTTCAATCTTGAAAGGGAAATCATTTCATTGTTCACATAGCTTTATAAACAAATTAAGGAAAGGTCAACCACATAGACTTCAGTCCTATGAGCAGATAGCAGGCTGCAAACTGCAGACTTAAGAGTCAAAAGAAACTAGCCATGATTACACATCGATCTGTGTCATGGGCAGAAACTAAAAGCCTCTCATTCTGGTTAGTATGACTCCCTTTAAATTCTAGGCAGTTAAGTAGGTACCAAAGTTACAAAGTTGGACAAGTCTAC